GAAATCCGGCAGTTTCTCTTTGCTGCTGGAGTGAAGTCCCCCCCAGCCCCATTTTTTTTTTGGCATCCATCAGAAAAGAAAGTGCTAATTCTGGAGATTGCTGGTAAAAGAAGCACAGCAGCGGTGTTGTGCTCCCCTGTCCAAGCTTTTTCCCTGAATTCTCATCATTTATTACCCTAAAGGGAGGTGCTGGGGCCCAGGTCATCTCACTGCTCTCCGGTCCGGTGCCGCTGCCGCTGGCTCCTTGCATGCGCTTCTCGGCGCTTGTCTGTCGTTCTGGCTTATAGCACCACTCCTCAGCAATTTTTCAAGTAAGAAAGGGCCTTTTATCCTTGGGAAATTAAGTCAGTTTGCTTTCTAGGTGGCTGACAAAGGCAGGGTCGAGTTATTGCTGGTCTGCGCCTTTCTCCTTCCAGGGCTGTAGATAGTGTTGGTGCTCATATGAGTCACGCAGTGGAGATAAAATAGGTTTCATTGGGATTTATTAACTTTGTTGTGTCTGAATGGCCCCGTACTGGGGCGACCGGGAGGGGAAGCCACCATGTCCCGGTCGTGATGTCACTCACTGCCTTACGCTTTTTGCTCAGCGAAGTTTGGAGACTCAAATAGGGATTTTAAACTTTATATGTGTGTGGTAAAAATCCCCAGCTTCCTCGTTCAAATAGCGTTAAACCCCTTGCCATATAGATTCTTATTTTGAAAGCAGATTTGGCCAGTGAGTGATTGCAAATCGCCAAAAGTGGAGAGGAGGAGCAGACAGGAAAAAGCAACAATTTTTAAGTAATTATTTACGGTATCTAAGGCAAGTGGATTACATGTGAACAGCAGTGCCTTGGTGTTAGCTGGGAAGCGTTTGTCTCTACAGGGAAGTAAATGCTCTCAAGAAGGACCAGAGGACCTTGAGAGGACCCTGGGCTGGCCAACCTGCACAGTCACTTACAGCATTCATGGCCAGCGAAATACCGGACTGCAATCACGCTGGTCCAACGAACACCGTGCCTTCCCACCCTGAGTGAGCTCTGGCAGAGCATCAGTTTTTTAGGAGGCCGATAGCTGCAAGCAGACGTTCAGGGTGTCCCAGAGGTGTTGGGGAGCCTCGGGCTGCCGTCGCTGCACAGCACAGAGCCCTGGTTCTTGCAGATTGCGATGTATCAGCCTCTAATATAAAACAGTCGAAGCTGGATAAACCGAGACAGTCATCATAGCCAGGAAAGGGCAATTTTAAAGGCTAAACCCTCATGGCTTTCCAAACCAGAAAAAACACTTTAAGGGGCTATAAAAATGTTTCCAAGACTAGTAGATGTTTACCACAAGTGGTTCTTGGTCAATAGTTAGAGAAGAGCATTGCTGGTATCTGCTGTTCACAGATAATGTCTTTAAAATCCTTCAACCCAAATAATTCCACTATACAGTAACGAGCAGCATCTTTTTTAATGAAGTTGCTGTAGAGATTACTACATAAGTACATAATTACAGCTAGGTTTTAAGAAAACAAACAGAAACATATAGTATCTGCATCACAGGCTATTAAATGTGCTCGTTGAGTCTATTTAAGCATTTCATTTTGAAGACTCCAGATATTGAAACTGGCAGTTAGGAAAAGCTCCTGTCAGTTTAGCAGATGATGACTGATTAGTTAGTCAGAGAAATAAATCCATAAGAGTAAAATAGCTTCTCTGGAGGATTAGACTAAACGCAGGAGAGCTACATCAGCATGAGAGAACCCCCCAACAAGGGGAGGAATAAATGCGAGAGCTAACGTGGAGCCTTGTTAGCTTGGGACTCTGCCGTGCCTGCTGCTGCCTGGTGCTCTCACGTCACCTGCCACTCTTCAAGAGTGGACCTTCGGCTTGGTGCTCCACCACTTCACTCCATCACTTGCAGATACAAATAATGATATTTGGACATGGTTATGAAGTGACACAGTGAAAACACTTCCACCTTCGTGTTTTTTTGTAGAGAAGGACATGGTTTTTCAAATGCTGTAATGTCCTGGAGCTAATATAAAACTGCTGAGGGGGAAAATGAGAAACGGTGGTGGTCTCTGAGGCCCAGATACCTCTATAACTCTTTACTAGTTTACAATAGGCCAGATTCTCATTTACAGCAAAGTGGGTTTTTTGTCTGTCTGCCAGTGTGAAGAAGTTTTAAAATGGGTTAATGGATGGAAATTGCTTCTAAATAACTTATATTTATGCCCACTGTAAAGCCACAGTCCACAGTATCCTGAGGGGGCTGTAAGTCTGACTGAGAAACTGGCCTAACAGTGTCCTGTAAAAAGTGCATAAATTAAGCTAGCAATTAAAGTACTTTGAATAGTGACGTCTTACTCTTTTAACTGATTTAATTTATGTGCTTTTTTTAAATTTATTTTTTTATTTCCTTTGAAGTCCCTGTCAACTTCTGTGGGTGTTCCTGCTCCCATTTTCCAGAGAGTTGGGTGCTAGGGCTGACCATTGCGCACCTCTCGGGATGCGGCAGATGATTTCTGCTTGCGCTGGTGGAGCTGTGTGATGGAGCCTTGGCAGGCCGTTTCCAAACCCGTCTGTAACTCCATGCATCTGTCTCATGCGTCTGTCTTTCCCCACACCCCGGTAGCAGTTCCAGTTAGCAGCAAGTTTAACTACAAGGGTGTGAAAGGGACTGTCTGACCTGTGTGGGCCAGCTGAGATGAGATTGGCTCGAAGCGTCCGTGCCTATAGAGCCGAGAGGAGGCCGTGGCGGTGGGCATGGTGCTGGGGGAGGATGGAGCAGGACAGACACCCTTGGTGTCACTTTGGCCGGAGAAGGACTGGCAACAAAGAACTTTGTGTTTTCTGAACTGGTTTTTAGATAAAAAGGAAATGCCAATTCCAGGACTCTGTTTGGCCCGTACGTGTGAAGATGCATGGAAAAAAAATCCAGTTGTAAAAGAGGAAAAAAATGTCTGCTCTCCGTCTTACAGAGCTCTTGCCTGGGGCTGGTGGACCACAAGGCAGACTTTTTGGTTCATTTTTTCCATTCTGACCATGATGAATTGCTTTTTTTACAGCAAGCAGCAAGATAATAACAGGAACAACTTTTGGTGTTCAGACAGTATGTTCTGGTAACTGGGCAGCAGTGTACTATTCATTATGAAATAACTTTCAGATAATGTAGTCAAAATTGCATCCTGACCTAATAAAGAGGTTTCAAATATCATTTATAAAATACGAAATTTCAGGAGGAAATTGTTATGAGATCTTTCCTCAAGGGAAAGGGCAGAATAGTTTAAAATTCTTCCAAGATACAAATAGTATCAGAACTTTTGGTAATACCCTTAACAGGTTTGGACATGGCAGAACAACTTGTGTTTCGCAGCAGCTTTTGTAGGATAAATTTCAAGCTGGCCGTGCAACTGGTAAAAAAGCAAGCAAAAATCAAGCAGCTCTCAGAACACAAACCTTGCAGACCTTATATTTGTCGTTAAAATCTTTAATTCAATTCTGAATGTGGTTGATTCTGGATTGCAGATCAATTGTCCCCGTGTAAGATGAGGCATGGGAAACCTTCAGTGAGAAGTGAGTCTCAAAAGCAGGTGGGAATCTCTTGGCACTGGACTAGCAGCACGTGAGATGGGGAAGGGAAATCAGGCACGCTGCTGGTGTATGACAAAGCAGGAAAGCAGGCATGGGTAATGAGATGTTTTACATGGGTAAAGCTCACGATCGTGGACAACCTGCCTTTCTCTGTGTCCTGAGGTTGGTAAGACTCCAACCTTAGTGGGGAGGAGAGGCATGTGGTGGTTCCCGGACATTCCCAGTGGGACAGGGATGGGCATCTGGTCCATAATTGGCCTGTGGTGGTGTAACGGTGGTCTCGGTAGCATTTGCTGGCTTGCTTGCCACCATGCTGAAGGTCCGTCAGCTCTGCCCTTGTGTGACACAGGTGCTGAAGGAAACCCTCCGAATCGCTGGGAGCCACGGGTGGCTGGGATGAGCTCAACCACCGAGGTGCTCCCCATGCAAGTGCTGCTGGCAGAAATAGTGTGGGGAGCTGACCCCAGGGCACGATGAACGCGTTGGTGCTCAAGCGTTGTGTTGACGTAGGAAGTGGGGTGCTGCTGTGATGGGGTGTGTTTACGTAGAATAAACAAGCCCTCCTGTGTGGTGGCTGGGCAGGGCTGGTAACGAAGTCTGCATCGTTATTTCCAGGAGAGCTGGCCAGGCTTGTGCGTGCTTTGTAATGGAAATAAAGGCGGAGTGCCGGTCATCGTTCTCAGATGGGGCTCAACCAGGACGGACTGAACTCACCGTGGCCCAAATACTGTGTGACCGCTTTGTGCCCATGCAGGGGAGGCTTTGCCTGTGCCTGTGTGGCACTCTGCCCTCGCCGGTCCGGTGCCCCTCCCTGTAAATCGGAACCTGCAGAAAGGGTTGGGCTGGACCTGGTGGGCCACTTACAAAGGCAATCCAATTTAATATCATGGAGTTAAAATATTACTTGTTTATTGCTAACATACTATTGCATTAATTTTTCTGGAGTCTGAACGATGAAATGATGTGACTTCTCCCATGAATAGACCACGTAGCGTGTTTTTAGGCTTGTTCCAAATGGTAAAAAAGGTGTCTCAGTTTTTGTGGTGATGGCTTTCAATCAAGCATGGACAGGCATCTGCTCTTCTAACGCTTCTCTTCTCTCTCAGTACTCCTGGTTAGCAGAAACCCTGTTATTTCAGATGTGTGTGTTTGTATGTGTAACTAAAATTGAAAATTGTCATTGAATATGTAAGGTATATTTTTATGCATCCTCTATAAATACCGAATTCAGAATATCGAGATACATGTAAATATATTTTATTTGCATGCATATGGTATATGCATATATTATATACTTCTGTATATAAGGTATGTACATATAAAACTATATTATAAATGTATACTGTTTAAATATATATGTGTGTGCACGCATTTTATATATATATTAAGTAAATATAGACGATGTTATGACATGGCTGATGTTTATTCTTGCATCCTTTGCAGGAAAGATTTCAAGTGAAGAATCCTCCACATACATACATCCAGAAGTTGAAGGGCTATCTGGACCCGGCTGTAACCAGGAAGGTGAGGAGCGTCCTGTTTCCTCTCACCCGTCCCTTGTTCCTCGGCGAGGATGGTCCCGGGGTCCGGGTTCCTTCCTGCCTTTGTGTAAAAGGCCCCGTAAAAGTCTCCGAGAAGAGTCTCGGAGATGGAACAAACGACAGAGAGGAGCAAAGAGAAATAGGAAAGATGCTGCAGTTTTTGCAGCTCAGAAAGGAGAACAGATGTTGCAGAGAAAAGGACCATCTGACACATGAAACAACTTGTTCTAATAACTGTAGCTTCAGTAAATAGTCTGACAAATTATCACTGAGCTGTACTCTAGGTCTGACTTTTCATGTGGGCAGCACTGGTGGTGAATAAAACCTCTGGCGGATGGCACTTTTCTCACCTGTGTGAAGGGGATGTTGAAGTTTTGAGTCCTTTTCTCTGGGCATTTGCGTGACAGAAGTTCAGTGCAGCTGGCACAGGTCACCTCTCGCTTGCAGTCTCATCTGAGGTTTCAGGGTTGTGAAATAAAGATGTAACCTGGGGTGTATTTACACGGCATCAACCATCCTTCTGCGAATTATTTTGTCCAAAATAGTTTGATAATCGCTCACGAAAGTCTCAGACACTTCACTTGGCCTTTCACGTGAACGTCGTGCATCCCTGAGTGTGGCTTCTGTACCAGGATGTATTTGTGGATGGTTCTGACGTTTCTGCACCGCTCTGATGGACTTAGTACTAGCCTCCAGGATTTTAGAATAACAGTAAACCTACATCCCGTTTAGAGGCCCATCTCTGAACCCTTGGTATTTAACCACTTTGGATATCAGCTCATATCCTGTGTTGATAGTAATAATAGCCTTTAAAAAAAAAAACCAAAAAAAGGCAGCGAGAGCATAGCAGATCCTGCCATTGACTGGCTCTGCCTTGTCCTCAACAATCGCTGCTTTGTGTTGCCGTACAATTAGCTGAGGCTGGTGCCCTGCAGTAAAATATGTATCCTGACACGGCTTCCAGGCCGGGGCCGGCTCCAGCCGCAGTGGAGGTGCACCTCCGTCCCTGCGAAAGGCGAGGGGCAGACACTGGGTACCCTGTGCTTCCAGCACGCCGTCGCTAGCTCGTGTCTTCAAGGCTGCAGTAATGTCTTCTGACAGTGCTTCTCTTGTTGGAGGCTCTAACAAGGAGTAGGAAACCATTTAGTAGGAAACCTTTAAATTTGCCTGTAGCTGATTATAGTTTTTTAAAAAAACCAGTGAACAGGGGTCTTTGTGTTTTTCTCCTGAAGGGTTTTTGAAATTCGTTTAGTGTTTGGCTTTGCTCTGCGGTTACTCTGTGGGCACACATTGAAGCCTTTCTTATCCTGATACCACTGTAAGAGTCCCACGGCAAATGACAAAACCGAAGGAGCCTAAAAATAACTCCATTGAGTTCCTCTCTTTTGTTGCGTTATTCTGTATCACCAGGAGCCTTTCATCAGCCTGGACTGCCAGGCGGAAAGATTTACAAATGGGCTTCTGGACGGATGCGCGATATTGTGGGGAGAGCTCGTATTACCAGGATTATTGCTGTAATTGAGGTGGTGTCAGCGTTTTTGCTGATGATCCCAAGCGTGGCCAAAAGAAGGTGGCTCCAAACGCTGCTGCGCAATGTGTGTTTCGGCTTGTAATTGGGGGCGTAATGGCTCTTCCCGGGAAAACAATTCCTTTTCATCTGAGCTGAATTTTGAAACAGGAAAATGAGAGTGTTGAAATTACACATTTTTAAAGAAATTGCAGTTTGGTGGCTCCTAGAGCCCAGTAAAGCACAGAGCCAGTTCATTGCTCTCTGCCGTGGTTGCAAAGAGCAGCCTGGCCTCACTGGAGGTTGACGGTCCCGCGTGGGAACGTGCTGCCTATTTCTGCCATGCCCTCCCACCCCTGTCTCCTGCCTGCCTCTTGCTACATCAATATTTTACCTTTACTTCTAGAGAGGTAAGGTTTTATATTGCTTGCAGTTATATTGTGTAAACTCTCTCGGGAGAGAAGGCACTGTGTTTTTGTACTCTGAGCTAATTAACTGAGGTCCAGAGAAACTCTATGTCTGATCTCAACTAGCTATTTCAAAGTAAAAATTAATAGTGCCTTGTGTCTACTAGGACTTTACCGTGAGACATCTATTTCAGTCTGCCAGTGGCTTTCTGAGCTGGGGTTTAGTCTTGCCTCAGGTAAGCCAGCATGTATAAAACCCTGGTGAAAAAGGCAGCTGATAATCTTCACATAGGTCAGCAAGGCAAGATAAATCCTATCCTCTCATCATCTTCACCTCAGTAAATGAACTCATGAGAATTATTAACTGCCAAGTAGTCCCCTTGATTTTATTGTGGGTTTATTGTGGTGCATTGAGAACAAACCCTTTTTTCCCCCGGTATTCAGAGCATAGTCCTACCTGCAGCAGCATCGCTTGTTTCCTAAGCACTTATAAGCCCTTTCCAAACACATCAAGTCTGTCTGTGTGATAACTGATGACCAAGTTGGTTGTTAAATACTGCAATTCCAAGATTATTATCATTGTCCATCCATTTCTGCTCTCATTTAGCTTGTTCACGAATGAGAATTTACCAAAACAACTGCTCCAGCATAATTTATCCAGCGGTTTTAGTAGATTTCCATGGGCAAGGAGCACCAGGCAGGAGAGAAGACGACAGTCTTTCTCCAGCTGGGGGAGGAGGAGGCATCGCTGGCTCGCTCTATCTGCACACCGAAGGTTGCCCTGCTGCAAGTTGGTTTGGCAGAGGATGGAGAGGAGCTGCTTGACTCGACTCGAGATGAGTCAGTGTGCATTTAGAGGTCTTCTGCTGTGGCCGGTGCCTGCTGTGAGCTGTGGAGGGAAGTGGAGCTCTCACTGCGTCCCAGTGAGGTTTTTCCCAGGTCGTCCTTTCTGCTCCCATACGGAGATGACACAAAACCTCCTCTCCTTTCTGCTGCGTTGCTGCCCAGTGTTTTACTTCTGACGTTTTATGGCCTTTTCCCAGCATCTAATTTTGCAGATACAATTTAGTGTGCACAAATTGTTAAAGCGTGCAGATGGCAGCACATGTGTATTTCATTATTGGCTTGCACCCACAGATTTGGTAATTATATAGAAATCATGGCAGGTTTTTTGGTGTGGGTGTAAAGTCTCGAAGGTGAGATTAAAGCACCAGGCTGAGAATGAAGCCCAAACGCTGTAGTTCTCAGTGGAGAGTTTGATACTAAAACAAAGCTTGTATTGTAAAGAAAAGTTTATTTCTCTACAGGCTTTTAATTTTCTTAATCCTGGAAACTCAAAAATGTGCATGGGAACAGAAGTTATTTTTCTGAGTATGTTTTTGTTGACTGCCGGACTATTGTTGTTGCATTCCTCAGGATTTAGAGGGGTTCTCAGTTTACCTTAATGTTTTATTTATTCATTCTGCACTGTGTGAGATGTTGATATTTTTAATAGCATCACATGAGTCTAATTGTTATTTTTGCCTGCTCACTCAATTACAGAAATTCAGAAGACGAGTCCAAGAGTCTACTCAAGTACTCCGAGAACTGGAAATTTCGTTAAGAACTAATCACATTGGGTAAGAATTTTGATGTCCTCTGGTCTAAGATTGTTTTACATCTACTGATGGATGCCTTTGAGAAAAAAATCTCTTTGCATGTCAAGCAGCGATACCACTTGATTGATCGTTAAAGCCTGAAGGGCTCAGTTAAGGGATAGCTGGGCATCTCAGGAGAATAATTCGGCTTTAGTCCTTTCATGACAGGTTCATCCACATCTCTGTGAAGGCTGCGAAAAGATTGCAGTCAACTTCTGCTCACCCTAAGTCAGAGCAGCAATGAGCATGACTGTGTCTAGAATAGTAATAGCATTGCAGCTATAAATATATATATTAAAAAACCCCATGCTGTTTTATAGCTTTAACATGATGCAGTTTGTGAAGCCCAGCAGTGAGTAATATTCCCAGTATTTTACTTCTACAAAGCACAAAATTCCTCTCAAATAGCAAAAGTAAAAGAATCGCAGAGACTTCAGTTTTTTATCGAATGTGCCGTTCCCATCCGCGTTTCCACTGGTCTCACCTCCCTGCTTTGGGTCTCGGGACCAGAAGCTGGTTCAACACCGGTACGCCAGCCAGGAAGGTTTCTTCAGCGTTTTGTATCATGATCACACACTGTGTCCAGCTCAATTACATCGATTTTACAGGATGCTGCTCTTGTTTTGTGGAAACAAGGGCATTTTAAACTGTGGGAGGAATAGCTGGTCTCTCTCTGTGGGAGCCGGCTCCCCAGCGTGGCGTGCACGGACGCCGTGCATGACAGTGGGGGACCCTCCCGCTAGCTGCACCGTCACAAATATTTCCAACAAACTTCTCCCACACCCCTGCACTGGCTCCTGCTATGTTTTCCCTCGTTTTGCAGCACAAAAGATTCCCCACCAAAGACGAAGCGTGACACTCTGCAGATTTATGACGGCTCATGGGTGCGCAGAAAGAACTGTGGTGGTGCACCAGATATATAAAGGAGGCTGACAAGACCAGTGTTTGTTTATGTGGTTCACTTGGCTAAATGATGCGTTTCAAAATACGTTTTATAAAAACGCCAGGTTGTTTATTTTAGCAGATAAACAGTGAAAGATTTAAAACCTGAAGACTAGAATAACTCAGAGGCAATGAATTCCCACTCTGCTGAGAGCAGGGGATCCATAGCTGTGAGACCCCAGAGGCAGAGCGAGCCCGGAGGCCCGGTTCTCTCCCTGGCTCCTCACTCCTTCCAGTGGCACCTAACCCACTCCTGGTGGAGTTTCGGCTGCCCCGGTTGGGGTTCGGCGGAGAGCTGAGCTGGGGCTGTGCTGAAGCTCCTTGCTCGCCTGTGTCTGCCCCCAGATGTATGGATTTTTAAACTTTACTGGGCATTTTTGAGTTTTTGAGAGCTTTGGAAGATAACAGGCTTTTCTGAATTGAAGATTATTTTGCATAATTCTCAGGGACCAAAATTCACAGTAATAGGTCTTTTAAAAAGAGAAGGCAAAATTACTGTTAAATGTACATCCAGGATGTCAGACCCCTCACCCTTGGTGCTATTACTCTTTTGCCGGTGTGCTGCCCGTATGCGTTACAAATACTGCTGGAGATCAGGATGTGGAAAAAAATAAACCAGGTCCCTGCAGCTCATGCGTTAGAAGGCAGCTGTAACCACTGCTTGGTGGTTTGCGCAGCAGCGTGTGCCAGATAGGAGATGAGCCTGGGTTTGGAGCGAAGCCGAGCTCCCCAGCGCAACCGTGGCCCTCTTGCAGCAACACCGCTGTGGTGGAAAAGGCACTCACCGACTCTGGAGCTCAGTGCTTAGAAGAGTGAACGTCTAGTTTCTGAGCAATGCAAAGTGTGCGTAGGGGTTTTTATGCTTATTTTTGGTGGAATGTTTTTCCCATCTTAGTGCTGCAAAAAAGTTCGTTTCAGTACACGTTTTGTAAAGTCCTCTAAAGGACTGCTTTAAAGTCCTCTAAATAATAAAGGGCATTTCTAAAAAGCCCTCTTTTTCCTGAGTGAGAAATCCAAGTTTTGCTCAGTAGTGCTGCCTTTCCTGCAATGGATCTGTCTCTAGCTTATCTGACAAGAATTCCAGTAACTGCACAAAGCCCGTGAAACGCTCTGATGTCTAATGATTTTTCTAACAGATGGGTCAGGGAGTTCCTGAATGAAGAAAACAAAGGCCTGGATGTTCTGGTGGAGTACTTGTCGTTTGCCCAGTATGCAGTCACGTGAGTAAGACATGTCTGGTACTCTGGGCTTGCAAGTCAAAGCAAGACTCCTGCCATCTCTACAGAGCAAGAGGGGGAATGCCAGGGCAGATGCTCAGCTTTTCTAGCAGAGCTTTCCTGCCAGCAGCTTGGTATAATACTGTGTACGTACCTTAGAGCAGAGAAAAGGGTAATGTTAATCCAAAACCATTGGATCATAACATGTTGCAGAGAACAAAGCTTAAGTTTAAGCCTTGAGATTATTTATCTCTAAGACTGTACTGACATTTTTTAGCTTTGGCCTCTGACCGTCTTAGGGGTACAGTGCAAAAACATTCAACAAATGTGAGGAAGCATGCAGGCTTCCTTAGAAATAGGTTTGCTATTAGCATCCGACCCCAAGGAATTATAATACTGTCTGCCATGTTCCAAAGCAGCATCCACACACGAACCACTTCTCACAAGGCTCGTGCTTGCTCGTGGCAAGCAAAGTTGTCGGCATTGTGTGCAGTAGCTGTGCTGCAAGACAAGAGTAGGAGTTTCAAGGTGATTTTGCAAGTCAGGAAGACTATGAAACAAGCTTTTGCAGTTCTGACATCTGGTTAGCTGGGAGTCAGATTTAGTCATTTAGGTACTAAATCATTAAATATACTCTGTTAAAACAGTTGGGAACAAATCAGCTTTTATTAGTCGTTATATCACACAAATTGAAATAGATTGTCAGCTGAGGATCTTGTTTTGTATATCCACAGGCTTTCACTTCAGGATATTGTAGCAATAGATTTTTGTATAAAATTGTATGAAAAGAAGCGATAGGTTAAAGGTGCTGTTGTAGTTAGGAACTCGAGCTGAGTAGAGTTGATGTTTTATTTTTAGAAAAGATGCCATCAGATGTATATATACCATCGCACAGAAAAGAGATTTTTGGTGGGGTTGCAGTAAAATTAATGAAGGAAAATTATATGTTTTAAAATGTTACTAACACTGGAAAAAACTGTGCACAGCAAAAAGAAGTGTTTGTATAAAGACTTTCTTCCTAAAATTATACAAATGTATGCAAGTTAGCTTGCTGGGTTTTTCCCCTCTCTAACGTGGTAAACATGAGTAATAACCTCAAAAGCTGTTAGGGGAACAAGCAATTTTTGCTTGAAATAGCAGTACAATGGGCAACGAGTCAGAAATCAAAGAAAATCTGTAATGATTATGGTAATGTATTACATATGCTGGGAGATTCACGAGGGCCAGCAAGCCAGTGTAAATGCTCGGTCGCATAGTGATGGAGGAAACTGAATTAGTACTTGCACAACATATTGATTTATTGAAATAAAATGGAGACAGCTTTAAGCATTCTCCCTCTTTCCTTCAAGGCAGGGCTAATCATCAGCAAAGCAGCCGATGTTGTGTTTATTTTACATTGAAGTAGAATAATACATAGCCGTTTGATCCTTCTGAAATTGTATGCTCGTGTGGTTAGCTGCTCCCTTCGTCAAGGCCCAGATTTGCTGCACTATGCGTTTGAAGCGCGCACTGAATTGCAGCCGAAGGGAAGTTAGCCTGCATTGCTTTCTTCCTTTCGTTTTGTAATCTTTTGGGACCTACTAAAATCTGCAGATCTTGAACAGGAAGGAAAATGTGCATCTTTTCTGTCTGACCCGGCATTGGACTTTCTGTTTCCTTTCAGGTTTGACTTTGAAAGTTTGGAGAACAATGTGGAAAACTCGATGGACAAGTCCAAACCTTGGAGCCGGTCTATTGAGGACCTGCACAGAGGCGGTAATTTACCCTCGCCAGTTGGCAACAGCATTTCCCGCGCTGGCAGACACTCAACTTTACGGTAAGGAGTTAAATCAGGCAGCGGGTGACCTGCAAACAGTGAGTGCCCAAGTGAGAAGAGTCAGTATGGTTTTCCAATTAGAAGATTTTTCATCTTCCCTCTTCTCCCAGTATAGGCTTGACATATATAGGAAACGTGTCATTTTACTGATGGTTTTGAGGTGGAAAGAAGTGCTAAGCTAGTAACTCGGGGCAGCATTGCGCAGCAATTGAGGAAGAGACAAGAATAACTCTGCCTCCCTTTCCAATGGCAGAATGATCTAAGGATGCACGATGCGTTTCCATCAGGTACAATGTGGCTTGCACAGAGGAAGCAATTCCTCTTCTCCAAAGAGTCCCTCAAGATTTCCATGGACCCAGCCAGTCTGGGGCTCCGATCTGGTGTCTCGTCCAAAAAGGTCTCTTCTAGCAGCACATTCCTTCCATGCTGCTATGAACAAGAGGTTGTTGTTTTTTTTTTTTTAAAAGGCCACTTCCATCCTTCAAACCTGCTATAAATACTAGCCACCACCCCAGGCTTTACTATGAAGTCTCTCTTTCCAAATACTGGGTTTTTTTCAGTTTGTGGAAAAGGCAGGATCGCTTCCCAGGACTGAAGGGCAGTCAACTCTTGTTACATTCCTTCGATGCTTCGCTATTATAAAACATACTAAACATCACCTTTAGACTAGCAGTACTGTTACCTAGGGGCGCAGCTCAGAGGGCTGAACGGCATTTGCTCATATGCTTTTTGACTTTTTTTGGCTTTTGTGGCGTTTTGTTACATAGTACTGTGAGCATAAAGGAGTCCAAAAGAGATGGAGCCAGTGAGAACTTGTGGCTTTTTCCTACACCTTCCAGTTGAGGTTCAGTTTCGGTTTGTCAGTCCATGGTAATGTCGGCTCTTTAGCTGATGTTAAGTGAGTGCCTTCCACCTACGGCCTGAGTGGTAGCGGATGTGATACCTGGAAGATGTAGTTCACAGACCGCAGGCAGCGGAGAGGAGGAGACAGACACACAGTTCTGGTAAAGAGATACAGGCTGTGGAGTGCAGCAAGATCACTTGACCAGTTGATTTTTTTATTTTTTAAATGTTGCAAAGGTGTTCTTAGTGGTTTTGGTTTTCTTTGATCTTTAATTACTATGACAGAGAAAGGGTAGAGTCTTGTGCTTGCAGGAGGATGTCTGATTCTGCTCTCTGTCTTTCGGAGGCATGCTTGTGATTAGTTACGCTAGAAATGCATGAGTCAGGTATACATTACGTGTCTCTTACATTTTTTTCTCTTCATTTCCTTCCATCCTTTTTCCTTTTTCACATTCCCCTTTATTCCTTACCTGTTTTATTTTCCATTTCAATGTCTCCTTCCTGGCATCCTTCGTTCCCCTCCCTCTTTCAAATGCTCTTCTCCCAACTCTCTCTCTCGCATCCTTCCCTCCTCCGCTCTCATCCGCCTTTCACATACCATCAGATTGGTTTCTCTGCCTGAGCAACTTCAGTTCAAAAGCCACCAGAGCTGCTTTTCAGCCAACTGCCTCTGGAGCGGCTTCACTTTGCGCTCTGCTGACGAGGCTTCGAGCCGGAAAATCTCGTAAGTCCCAGGTGCAAGGTTACACGCAGCACGGGCTGTGCAGGGCATGGGAGCCGCGCGGCGAGCGCTGCTCCCCATGCCTTATAATCTAGTAATCATACGTCTTGGTAAAGCGACCGCCTGAGCATCAGGGGGAGTTTTCAGCCTCCAAAACGTGTGGTTATCACATTATAACTTCGGAGTGTAGTTTGCTTCCGTAGAGTGGGGTTTTCTAAAAGAAAATAAAATGTGTTTTACTTTGAAACAAGGTACTAGTTTTCTTTATCATATTGCAAATAGTATTATTAGTTTCATGCCTAAGACATAGAGCCCTTAGTCGTTGTCCATGTTATTTCGTCTTTTTTACTACAAATAGAGACTTCACTCATATCCAACACTGGTGCAGTACAGTGTTTTTCAGCCAAGTGCCCCCTCTTGCCTGCAGAGCCATCTTTGTACCAGGGCAGCTTGGGCAGAAACTGTCCAACATTTACATGGAATTAGCATCTTTGGATTGTGTTTCCTTAAAAAAAAAAAAAAAAAAAAAAAAAAATCTGTGTTTTAAAATGTGTACTTTTTCTATAGCTGGGGACTATGTTTATTGAAAAAAGTAAAAGCTGAAAGTAGGTGCGAAGTTTTTAAGAAGAGCTTTTTTGTATAATTGGTAAATATTAGTTAACTGAAACAGAATCTTTTCCTGAGTACAAGCTAGGTGCTCATCAAATGAGGACAGTGTGCAGGATGGTGTTTCTGGTCAAAACCAGGAGGTTCCTGCCCCGTCACTGGGTAGACGACGTGTCTGGGACATGCGGACACCCAGGCCATAGGTTCTTCTGTGTGAAAGCTGCTCTTCTGTCTTTGTTATAAAAACATTAAAATGGAGAGAAAGGAAGAAGCGGTCCTCCCTCTTGGATGAGGGAGGAGAAGTCTGACAATCTTAACAGGGTAATTTAAAATTCAGGAGCTGGACTCATCCCTGCTATGCCATAGCAGTATGAAAAATGAAAACAGATTTGGCCTGGATTCCTTTTTATTAAAACAGCAAGAAGATTTGGGGAGACAGTGTTTCGTGCCAGCTTTCACACCGTTTTTTGTCATTTTCGGTGCTTGTGTGGCAGTGTCATGGCACCAGCTTTCCAGCCTGTCCTCAGGGTTCAGTAGCAGTAAACCTGCTGTAGCCCGCAGGACCCTGCACGATCCCAGCTGATCTGTGCTGTGCACATTTAATTATAGCAAAAGGAATAGGAGATAAGCACAAAGCAACCCTAGGAAGTACTGGCAGGGTTATACCCCTTGCACGCTTGCAGACGATGCGGCTCCATCGTACTGAGCGGTTCCTTGCAACCAGCCAGGGCAAGCTTGCTGCGGTGTGAACTCACCCGGCGGTGACGTGGGCACGGAGGCTTTCTGTCTGTTCGTTTGCGTGGCTGAGGCTATCCATTTCTAATTGTGACTTTAACTGGCTTCCCGTAGCTCTTTTTAGTAGTGCTAAACCCTGCCAACTCACTGCTCACTGGGTTTCCTTGGCAACTGAGCGGTTTTGTTTGGTTTTTGTTTTTTTTTTTTAAGAGGAGGCACAGGGAATTGGGAAGCAAACACCAAAATGAGGGCAGAAGGATAAAAACGGGGATGAACCTTTGGGGATTTTATTGCTGCTTTTTTTGGGGGAAAGAGCATTACTTTCACATGAGAGTCATACTCTCCTGTCAGATAAGTATTAATGCAGACTTCGTAACGTCCCAGCCCATTAGAAATTCCCTTTCTTCCGAGTCAAATACTTCCATTTTTATGTGGATTGAACTGAGAAACTTCATTTCTTTCTTCAAAATCTGTGGACTCCATAATAAGAGAGCGATCCAGGCAAACGTGTCTTAATCCATAAATGGGCTTTGAATGCATTCAATAATTGGACTCAAATTCGGTGCTGCGTCTTAGGCTGCAATGAATTGGACTTCGCCATTAACACTGCCACTGCTCAGGGTGACAGCTGACTTCGTCGTCATAATTTTTGTCAGATACTTGCTAATGTAACAGAGCATATTTTTGAGCAGTCAGTTGTTGGTCTTGTGATTCTTCTGGTTTTTCTTCCTGAAGACCATGATTTTTGCAGACCTCGGACAGGCATTAGTCAGGCAGCGGTGTCTCGGGCAGGCGAGGGTAGCTCCAGCGCAGTGTGCACCCCTTTTCACGTGGCCTGCTTGGTGGTGTTATGGGGATGTTTGTAGGTAAATGCCCTCTCGAACTGGGGGAGAATCCCCTATGGTACCCCTCTGTGTTTGTGTACAGAGGTGAAGAAACACGCTGTTCCCTTGCTGGAAGTTAGGTGGGATGCGCACAGCGTTGCAGGGCTGAGCACCACCTGCGTGTGCATTTACAGCTGTAGTCACGCACTGGCTGCGTAGCCTGGGAGGAGGGAGGGAGACCAAAACCGGCTGTTTCGATTTCTTTTCTCGCCTTTTTTAAGCAGCAAATATCTCCTCAGCTTTATGGATTAATAGTTTTCCCAGATTCTTTTGGATGAAGACAAAACCAGCAGGCTCAAAGTAATTTATTTTCTTTACATTTGTAGCACAAACCAGCTTTGTCGCTCCTGTCTGAAGTAGCAGGAAGGAGACATTTTCGGGCAGCACAGCTACCTGCTCTGGCTCGCCCAGGGCAGATGTTTATGCCCTTGCATGAGCAGAGGAGCTGATTGCACCTCACTGGTTTTAGTGCTTGCGGGGGCCACTACTGAGCACAGGCTCGTGGTCTTTCCCTCTCCCGGCCTCATCCCCTGCAGAGGGGTGCAAGTTCAGGGTCCCCACGTCCAGCAGACCCAGCTTGTAACTTGCTCTAAGAGGAGATCAGAGAAATCCAAAGTTAGTAGGAAGCGCCAAGACTTTCCTCTTCCAAACTCCCTTTCTGCTGTCAGAAGGACGTTCATAGTACAAACACCACCACCTCCAAACCAACAACAACAAAATCGCAGAAATGCGATCCAAAAACCACCAAACCCCAATGAAAACCAGGAGTCCCAGCCCACACAGAGCTGGGCGAGCTGCCACGGGGGTGGTGAGGTCCACCCTGGGTTGTCCTCTGCTCCCCTTGCTCCTACTCTGAGGGAGCCAGTGTAGACAGATGAGGGCATGATGTTCTTTAGCAGATAATAAGATAAAAATGATAGGAGAAACAGCTGTAACTTGTATTCGTTATTAACGCGGTGCATTAGAAGTCTACAGCATTGGACTGGGCCCACGTCCTCATTTTAAGCATGAAAGTCCTTCCGTTGAAGTTGGTGGAGATGACAGGAGTTTGTATTGAGATTTATGCTCACTTACCATCGTGGAAAGGGCTTTTATTTGCTTTTGAGTATCCCAATTTGTTGCGTAGGTGTTTTAATTATCTGTCTGTGAGTCTTCAGTGTCAGTGTGAGCTGTTTTGCACCAGAAGATGCCCTTGCGTGTTGTGTTTTCTA